TGTGGAGTTGTGGTGAACTGGGGTAGGAACAGGATATGGGGAAGTAGCCGGAGCATGTGCTCCTGAGGCAGGGGGCTGTGCCACATGGGAGTGGGATGGCAGAGAACGAGCTCCCTTTGTCATGTCCTCTCCCTAGGTGCAGTGCTAACCCCAGACGTCTCCTTCCTGTATCCGGGCCTAGCCTCCTGTGTCACGTCCTCTCCCTCGGTGCAGCACTAACCCCAGACATCCCCTTCCGGTATCTGATCCTACAATCAATGACTAGTAGGTGGGCTGAGGAGGAGGGGCTAGGAAGGTATATAGGGGCGGTAGGGGTTGGAGCTCGTTCTCTTGCTACTGCTCTCTTGCTCTGGCTTTCCTGCTTGGCCTTGCTGTGATGGCCTCTGAATAAAGCTCGAGGCTTGTCTCTGTGTTTATCCGGGTGGGCTCCGAAGACTGGTAAGTATGATCCTGGCAGCCTGCTCATTATAGGAGGAGAGTGCACGGCACGACCGGCACAAGTGATTAACTCTGGTGTCTAACTCTGTATTTGGCAAAAATTGCTAAGAACACTTGAAACTCATATATAATCTATATCAAATTGCTTGCCTTCTCAAGGAGTGGGAAGAAGAAGAGAGGGAGAGTATTTGGAATCCAAAACTTTAAAAAACCCAAATATTAAAAATTTTTGTTTACATGTAATTGAGAAAAAAATAAAAATTAAATATAAAAAAAGAATACTTGAAACTAGTTTGGCAGAAATTAGGTTTATTTTTTTTCCTTTTTGGTGAGGCAATTGGGGTTAAGTGACTTGCCCAGGGTCCCACAGCTAGTGAGTGTTATCTATCTGAGGCCAGATTTGAACTCAGGTCCTCCTGACTTCAGGGCCAGTGCTCTATCCTAGCTGCCCTGCAGAAATTAAGTTTAGAACAATAGCTAGCACCATATGCCACAATAAGCTCCAAATGATTACATGATTTAAGTATAAATGGTAATAACATAAACAAAGCAGAGAAGAAAGGAAGGAGAAGATAACTATGGGTAGAAAAAGAGATTTTCATTAAACAAGGCCTAGAGAGGATTATAAAAGATAAAATGGATAATTTTGATTATATAAAATTGGAAAGCTTTTGTACAAACAAAAGCAATGCAGTTAGGATTAGAAGGAAAAGAATGAACTGGGGGAAAGTACCTTTGCAGCAAATTTATCTAATAAAGGTCTGATATCCAAAATATTTAGGGAATTGATATGAATATATAGAAACAAGAGCCATTTCTCAATTTATAAATGGTCAAAACAGACAGTTCTCTTGTAAAGAAATACAAGTTGCCAACAACCATATGAATAAATGCTTCAAATCGTTAATAAAGGGAAATATAAATTAAAACATCTCTGAGATTCTAATTCATACCCATCAGATTAGCAGAGATGAAAAAAAAAGAAAGATGCTAATTATTGGGGGGGTTGTGGGAAAATAGGCACACTAATATACTATTTGTGGAGTGGTGAATTGGTCCCACCATTCTGGTAAGCCATTTGTAACTATACCAAAAAAAGTCACTAAACTGTACATACGCTTTGACCCAGGATGAATGGACAACACCTTTAAAAAATACACAGAGGAGACCAAAAGGAAATTCAGAAGGGGACATAGACAAATAGGACAATCTTGTTACCATTGTGTTAAATTTAATATATACTTAAAAAAAAAACCCTATGTAATAGTAGTTTAGAGTTTCATATACAAACTTCTTGTTCTTTGTATGTTGAAATACTCATATTTGTTTATTTTCATGAGTTCATAATATAATAATTTCTTTTATGTTATGTTATAAACTTATGTTCATAACAACCCTATGTAATAAAGGATTTTTAAAATGCTGGTTAGAGGCTCTTTTTTTGGGAGGGGTAACCTAATAATTCTTATATTGTTACTCTAAACTCTATCTTGTAGTTCTACTAGTCTTTGCTTTTAAATTTTACAAGCATTTTCCCTGAGTTGTCCTTAGATCTTGTTTAGCTGAATGTTCAACAACTCCTGCCAATTTATCTTCTACTCTAAGAATTTTACATTCATTTGATTTGATTCAAATCCCACCCACAATGCTTTCAGCTGTTCACTTTTTATCATTATTTAGGTTTATTTATTATTTATGTTTAATTTTTCTCATGATAACTCTCTTGTTAGAGATAAATCCATCTCTTCAGTTTCAAGCCATAAACCCTAAACTCTGCCATTATTCCTGAATGGAGTTTGTCTGTGTACTCTCTTTGGCTCCATTCACTATCTTTGTAATATTTTGAACCAAAGTGTCCCTTCCTGGCTGCCCCTTCCCTTTGTGTGTTACCCCCTTTATTAGAAAGATATTAGGTCTTTGGTCCTAAAGGACTTTCCTTTTGTATTGGTATCTCCAGGGCTTGGAGATACTAATTTAGTAAAGATTTACTAAATGTTTTCCCATTTGCTCATTATTTATTCATTGATTCATTCATTGATTATTGTTTGATCAAACAGCCATGCTTAATTTTCATTCCAGTGATTTTTCATCATGAGGCAACTGATGACTCAGTGGCTAGAGTGGTGAGCCTAGATACAGGTTGACCTCTGTTCAAATCCAGTCTCAGATACTTACTAGCTATGTGATCGTGGGAAAGTTACTTAACCTCTGTTTGCCTTAATTTTTTCAACTGTAAAATGGAGTAATAAGAACACCTACCTTGCAGGGTTGTTGTGAGGATTAAATGAGATATTTGTAACAAGCACTTAGCATAGTGCCTGGCACATAGTAGGTACTATTAAATGTTTATTCCCTTCCTTGCCATCTCCTATGCTAAGGAAATCATTGGCTCAGATTTGATCCTGATGCTGCTGCTGCTACAGCCGCAGTGCCCTTCTGGAACCTTCCAATGCTCACAAGGTCACTTACTAAAGGAAAAGTAACACAAAATGAGAGAGGAAGGCAGTCATGGACTCCTATTATAAGGCTAGATAGTTAGTTGACAGTAAGGGTGGGGAGCATCAGCCCCTGGGGCCCTTGTGTAGAAAAGGGCTGTCTTCTATCTGGGATGGAACTCTATATTGTCACTTGGAGGGCTGAATCCAAAAGGCCCACCAGCCAGAAATTGTTTCGTCTTCTACCAGGTGTGGTACCCCACATCATTAGTTCTTCTGACTCAGTAGCCAATTAGGAGACTTTCAGCAGATAAGTGGCACATAGCAAGGAACCAGCCCTAATGTTCCCTACAATGGTTGACCAAAATGGTGGCTATACACGGTATAGAGAGGGGTGGAGGGAGAAGGGCCCTATTAAGTTTAACAAATTTTTATTGATATTTTGTTTTATATCATGTACAATTTCCGCTGATAGCCTTCCTTTATGACAGTCCTCCAGACCCATAACCTAAATGTTGTTTTTTACTCCCTACTATCTCTCATCCCCCAAAACCAAACCTGTAGTCAAGGCCTATCGATTTCATCTTTGTAACATCTCTTGAACATACCCTTCTCTCCTCTGATTCTGTTACCACCTGGTTTAAGCCCTCATCACCTACTCATTACCATCTGGACTGTTGTAATCTCCTGCTGATGGGTCTGCCAGGGTCTGCCTGCCTCAAGTCTCTCCTTACTCTAATCCATACTCTATTCAGCCACCAAATGATTTTCCTAAAGCATAAGTCTGACCATGTCAGGGGTGAGATGTTGGTCTCTACTTAGTTTCTGCCAAACTACTTTCCAAGTTTTCCCAACAGGTTTTGTAAGAGTGAGTTCTTGGCCCCAAAGCTTGGGTCTTTGGGTTTATCAAATGCTAAATTACTATGGTCACTTACTACTGTGTATTGTGTACCTAATCTATTCCACTGATCCACCACTTTATTTTTTAGCCAGTCCCAGATTATTTTGATGATTATCACTTTGTAAAACAATTTGAGATCTGGTATGGCTAAACCACCCAACTTCAAAACTTTTTTTCATTGATTCCCTTGATATTCTTGAACTTTTGTTCTTCCAAATGAATTTTGTTATTATTTTTTCTAGCTCTAAAAATAAATTTTGGTAGTTTGGCTTGTCACTGTATAATTTAGGTAGAATTGTCTTTTTCATTATATTGACTCAGCCTTCCCATTAGTAATTAACATTTTCTCAATTGTTTAGAGCTGACTATTTGTGTGGAAAGCGTTTTGTAAATATGTTCATGTAGTTCATACTTAAAGTCATTTCCCTCTCCCTCAGCACTGATTATTATGGGAGTAGAGTAAGGTGAAAGTGGAGCTGTGTCTTGGCAGGTAGACTCCCAAGTATTTTATATTGTTTAGAGTTATTTTAAATTGAATTTCTCTATCTCTTACTGCTGGACTTTGTTGGTAATATATAGAAATGCTAATGATTTATATGGGTTTATTTTATATCCTGCAACTTTTCTAAAGTTGTTAATTATTTCAACTAGTTTTTTAGTTGATTCTCTAGGATTCTCCAAGTATACCACTGATCATGGTTCTTTTTAATTGTCAATCTGACTTACACTGCTAGGCCTAGGTTGAGAAAATTCAATTCAATTTTAAAAATATTTATTTAGCATTTACTGTGTATAGGGCACTGTGCTAGGTACTAGGAAAATGACAGAGTTAAAATGAGATATACAGTAGCTTTTAAAAGAGACAGCCTCCATCTATTAGTTTCACTTCATCTTCCTTTTTTTAAAAAAAAGATTAAATAAAATTCAAGACCTTCCTCCCATTTTACGTTTTATCATGTCTACTTTGTAATCCACAGTAATTTTTTGGATAGGAAGGTGTTTACCAAAAGGATTGTGGACTTGATAGTAAGCACCCTCTTCCTATTTTCTAGAGTTTGGAGCCTTATTGTTCTAACACGTCGTTATAACTTTCTTGGAATTAGACTCAGCCACTATTTGGTTTTCAGAAGACCTTCCCCTCTCCTTCATTCCCCCTTTGAAGGCATCTATACTTGAAGTGAAACTGAATGTACTGAGTGAAGTGAAACTTCCTCACAGGAAGTGAAATGAGATGGTGAGCTCACTTTGATTCTGTTGAAGCAGCTGTTTGGGTGAGCAAGCTTGCAGTCTGCATTTTCTGGAGCTGCCTTGAGGTAACTGAGGTTCTGTGGGACCAGGTTCTGAGAAGAGCTAGTTAGAGCATGTAGGAGAATCTTTGTCAGTGGGGTATCCGGAGATTATATTACGGTCCCTGCCTCCAGGGATTTGTCGAGACAAGGACCTATGTAACATAAGGGTTTGAATGACACAGGCATAGGTGATTAGTTCCTTTTGTTAGTGTTTGTTTTAAAAAGTTTCATATTTAAAGTCATTTCCCTCTCCCCCAGTACAGATTATTAAGAGAGTAAAGTAAGGTGAAGACGGTGCTATGTGAAGATAGGCTATTTATCACTGTGTCCTCACACAGTAGGCAGAAAATGTTAAGATGTTAGGTTACTGAACAGAAAGAACTTTGTGGGGATGCTGCTGTATTTCTAGGGTTGGTGATATAGGGTTTGTTGGCATCCTGTGTAATATCACCAGGAGAAGCAGGCATAAGGCACCTAATGAGCATGGGGGACCCAAGAAAAAGTAGATCTGGAACCTAGGGACTCCTGTCCTCTTCTATCTCCTCTAAAGATTCTTGATCAAATACCTAAATAGCTTTTGGTGTCCTTCCAACATTAGATTTGGTAACATTCTAAGCCTAACTCATACCATCTCACCCCCTCCTTTCCTATTTTTATTGTTTCTTTAAAACTTCCATTTCATAAAAGGCTTATTGTTATTTTCATTCTTTATAACTCATCACCACCCTAAGTGGAAGGCTTACCCTCCACCTGCACTGTTTCATAGCTTATTTCATTGTTATTGTCTTGTACTTTCCCCATCTCACCCTTAGCTAATTACTTACAGGCCTGAGGGCTAATATTTCAATACTTCATCATGAACAAATATTTATTTGGTGCTCTAGGGCGACCACCACTTAACTGGGCAAATAGTAAGAGTTTTAATATTGTAACATGCTAATTTAAAATATAAGGTTTATGATGTTTTCCTCCCAGCAACTCTGAGAGGTAGAGGTGCAAATATTGTCCTAATTTAATAGGTGAGTAGACTAAATCTCAGAGTTTAAATAACTTATCTAGGGTCACAGAGCTCCTAAATAAGACATGAACATGAAAATATAGATAGCAATACTTTATCCTGACAGCATTTAATGAAATATATTGAATAGGTGCTAAATATATATGTAACACTGATTTTCTTGACTATCACTTCCTGAAGGTCAGGTGTGTTACATTTCTCCCCTCCCCCAGGGTTGTTTGAAATCTTAAGGTTCTTGGGAATATTTAGGATGTCTGCAAATGACTTCAGCCCCCACTGTGATGTTCCACCAAATGTAGGAAGGTCCTCTGCACCCTAGTCGTATTTAGCCACTAATAGATTAATTTCCGCGAAGAAATACTTTAGATACTTTGCTTTAAAAGGCATAATCACAAATATACACACTCCCAGAACATGTGGGGCTTAATCTTCTACCCTCTACCACATACTGCATTAGTTTCTGGGGAAGGGAAGCTGATTAGTTTCGCAACTATTTCAGTTTCTATAGAGCACAGTTCCGGTCCAAAACCTGCCTTGGGCTTAAGTTCAAGGCATCCTGGTTTTTCAGGGCTTCCCTGCTGGGCTGGATGAATTCCTGGGTAGAATCCTGGCTGTAAGATCACCATGGCTCAAACTCCTAGATTTGGTGGGGATTACCTTATGCACCTTAAATTGAGAAGGACAAAAGAAACAGAATGGAGACTGCAGACCCATTTCTTAGAGCTGGGGTAAAAGAGAGAGAGGGAGAGGAAGATATTTCCCCCATCCCCCATCCTGGTTCAGTTCATGGTATCTTGCTTTAGGGAAACTGATATTCACTCTCTGGATGCAGCAGGAAAGAGTATGTAAGAAAAGAGAGAGACTGTCTTAATTTGGCAGTTTTAAAAAATACAGCCTTTTCTTGCCATGTAGCAAGTTGAAGGAGACCACTCTCACGCATGTGGTAGGAGAATGCAGGATGTAGGGTACCTTCATGTTAGGGAATCTGGGCATACTCCAAGTCCCATTACATATAGTAATTGATGGATGGATTAGGGAACCTGAATCTCAGAAGGGTAAAGTGGCTCACCTAAGATGGGAGGATAAGAAAACTAAATCCCTGAGTTTTAGCAACATGGTATAATGGGAAAAACTCTGGAATAGAAGCCAGAAATCCTGGGTTCTGGTTCTGGTTTTACCACTTACTCACTGACCATGGGAAGTATGACCTTGGGGAAGTTACTTCACTTTTTTGACCCTGTTTCTTCATCTGTAAAATGAGAATTAATTGTATTTGCCCTTTTTCGAAAAGTTGTCACAAGAATCAAATGAAATGATCAACAAAACACTTAATAGGCTATAAAGTAGTATGCATATACAACATTATGATTGTAGGGTCCAGTGAATTGGATGACTGTTCTCAAACTACTACTAATTGTTCTTTTTTATTCTTCAATCCAATTTAACTGCACTCCCTTAGCTATTTCATTTTCAGCTGATTGATTTCTTACCTTTTAAATCACCAGGTTGATTTCAAATAATTTTGATTTACCCACAGTGGGTATTCACCCAAATCTTTCTTCTTTTTTTAGGTGTCCCTATGTTGCTGACTGGCCAGATTAAATGGTTAGCCGTGCTGCTAGCCACAATGGTCTTTTCTCTCTGCTTAGCCCTTCCCTTAGATGATTACCGGAAAGCTCTTATAAGGACAGAAGAGATGTTGCAAATTGGGGGGGAGCTGTTGTTAACAGAACAAGAAGAGCTGGCCAATGAGAAACTAATGGCCCTCAAAAATGCAGAGATTACACAGGCAATGAAAAAAAATCAATTTCCACCTAGCATGCACTTCTTCCGGGCCAAGAAGCTTATTGAAGAAAGTAAGGTGTTCTGTGTCTTAAAGAAGATGCCAAAAGGTAGGGAGGGGCCTTTATGTAGGGGTAGGGTAAACTTATCTAGGTGTTAAGCTTATGAAGAGATGGGAAACCCAATTATCTGAAGAACCTGAAGTTAAAACTATTGCTTTGGAACTCTTTTCTCTATTACCACTTCTGAATGGGACATAACTTTATTTTTCTTGTTTTTTTTTTGTATTTTTTTCTTTTGCAACATAGCTAATATGGAAATATGTTTTGCATGACTTCACATGTATAATCGATATCATATTGCTTGCCTTCTCAATGGATGAGGGAGGGGCAAGAGATAGGGAGAGAATATGGAACTCAAAATATTAAAAAAGAATGCTAAAATTTTTTACATGTCATTGGGAAACATTTATTGAAATAAAAACAAGAAAAAAAAAAGAAAAGGATAGGACACAATGGGGAACTATATCACTAAATTTCCCTGTTCCCTGTGTTTTTTCTCATAGACCTAAAAAAAGTAGGCTGAGGATGGTAATCAGTAATGCCACACTGGAAGCCAAAAGCCCTGCCTTTAAGAAGATTCCACTGAACAATGCTGTTGGAGCCTCAGAAGTATGAGGCTACAGCTGAGATCTTTGGACCCAGATGAACTTCTAGGTTAAAGTGGGCTGGAAAAATGTCTGGCCAAACAAGTTTCCTGGGACAGACTGCCACTATTATTCCTTTTTTATCTCGTGAAAATATGCCTCAAAGGCAGAGCCATTCTCTCACTTAAGCCCTAAACTAGGGCTTTCTGAGTGATGAGGAAGGCAGGCACCTTAGGAAGTGATGCTCTGGGAGCTGGAGCAAAGGGAGTTGTGTTCAATGGTCTGGGGCTTCCCAAAACACAGGGAAGATGCTCCAAAGCTCAACTTGGTCAGTTGCTTGGAAAGCAAGTATAGCTCACTGGCATTCCTTCCTGGACTAGACAAAGTAGGTTTTAGGAGACTCTAGACAGAAAAAAAAAACAACCCAGGACTTGAAAGATTAGTTAAGGGTCTAGAGCTTAAGCCAGAAATTTCCATTAAGTTTGGATACAAGGAAATTTGGCCAGAATGACAATTTCTATGCATGAGCAACATGATTATCTACTCTTCACTTAGGTGAGATATTACCTATGGTAGGTGTGGGGAACCTGTGGCCTTGAGGCCACATGTGGCCCTCTAGGCCCTCAGGTGTGGCCTTACATGCTCAAGTGTGACCCTTTGACTGAATCTAAACTTCACAGAACAAATCCCCTTAATAAAAGAATTTGTTCTGTAAAACTTGGACCCAGTCAAAAGACCATACCCAAGGACCTAGAAGGTCACATGTGGCCTGTAGGCTGCAGGTTCCCCATCCCTGACCAATGTCCTCTAATCTGTAGTTCTGTCCCCTCTCTTAGGAGCTGCTTTACACCTCCACGACTTTGGCATCTTGAGTGTTGACTGGTTGGTGAGGAATGTCACCTACAGACCCCACTGCCATCTCTGTTTCACTCCAAGTGGCAACCTGAAGTTCAGATTTGCTGACCCTGCCCCTCCAACCCCAAAGCCAGAGGGCTGCTCTGAGTGGATTTTGCTAGAGAAGTATAGAAAGCAGCTGCAAAATGTCACTGAGTTTGACAACAGGTGAGTTGTCTGACATTTATATAGAGCTTTCAGGTTTACAAAGTGAGGTAAACATAACAAGATGTATTATTATACTTGTTTTGTAGATAAAGAAATTGAGATTCAAAAAGATTGTGATCTGCTGAATATTCCATAACTAGTAAGGATCTAAGGTCAGATGCTTCTCAGCTTTAGAGCTGAGTTTAGTTAACTAGTTAAAAGACATTCATTTAGGGCCTAGTGTGTAGAGAACATGGTACATCTAATGTATCTTGTTTAAAGATATTTCCCTACATGAAAACCTGTAAGATCAAGCTCTTCTAGTGCATTTAAAACATGATTTGAAAATCAAAATAAAATTGTAGTCATTGGGCTAGATATTTAATCCAATTTGATTTATGAATAAGATAATTTTTCAGGAACATGTTTACAGCATAAAGTGAGTTATCCATATATGTTTTGTGAAAGGATGCAAAAGAAATTATTTCAGTCTTAAGGTACTTATAATATAGCATATTTTCACAAACCTTCCATAGAACATTATAATGCAACTCTCCATTACAGTCAAAATAACTTGTAAAATAATGAGTAAAATGCCTAAGAGTCCTGAGGGGATGTGAAATGAGAAAGAACAGAATATAAGACACCAAATTTCCCTGGTTAGAGGGAAACCTCTGCTTCTTTTGATTCTGAGTCTTTCAGACATTTCTGAGAATTCTGGGAAATAAGTTCCTAGGAAGGGAAACCATGACTCCTCCCTCACTCAACTCTGCCTTCCCCTTACTGGAAAGATAAATTCCTCTGGGCCCATGCAAGAGACATGTAGGTATGGATCTGATGACGTTGCACAATTTCACAAGGAAATTCACAAGCCTCCTTACCCGAAGCTTCAACCTGGCATGACTCCCTTTTGCTTCATGACAGCTTGCTGAGAAACTTCACCCTGGTGCTGGAGGACCCTGAGATAGCATACTCAGATCAAGCCGTCATCTGGGCAAGGTTTGAAAACATCTTTATTGCTGTTAGTGGCCTGGTCCATTATGCACCAGTGTTTAGAGAGTATTTCGCTAGAGGTCTGGAGGAGTTCTATGAGGACAATGTGCAGTACTTGGAGCTAAGAGCCACACTCTACCCGGTAAGTTTGCCTGCTTGCTCTCAGTTCTCATCTCTCTCCTGGTCTGCTCTTTCTACATGCTTGGTTCTCAAGTTTCCCCTTGGAATCTTCATCAGCTCCTTGTTCTGCTTCCTAAACTTAAGAATTGGGTGAAGGACTCTTGGATCTAACTTCTAGGTCCAGCAAAATTGTGAAACAGATGGCATTTCTCTTCATTGTCCTACTTCTCCTTTCAGAACCACTTTCTTCCTTGGTGACTCTTCTCCTTCCTGTTCCTCGGACCTACAGCCCTCTTATACTTTCTTTGCTGCCCAGAGTCTTTCACTGGGAGCCTGGACAAGCCTTATGCTCTAGAGACCTTTCCTTGCTGCCAAGGTAGATTTCCACTGTTCTTCTTCCTTTGAACCATGAAATGTATTAGGTGACAGCTAGATAATCTGATGAACTAAATTGTATCAGTGTGTTAATGGGTCCTGATGAATCACAGGAAACATTTATATTTTTACATGGGTCTTCTCAAGGATTAGTGTCTTAATCCTATTTGTAATCTGATATGGAATGGTAAGTGAGGAGACATGGCGGTGGGGAAAAGATGGGAATTGAAAACCGGACTTCAAATAGGGTAAGGGTAATTATTGCTTAGAATGGAAGTGGCAAACCTTACCTAAGAACCATACTCCCTGGAAATTAGAATGGGCCATAGACAAATCAATAATTGCATGAAAAAATAAGAAATATATTTAAAAGATTGAAAAGGAAAACAGAGGAAAATATAAGGTATGTAGTAGCAGATACAATTGAACTGGAATGCATGTCAAGGAGAAATAATGTAAGAATCACTGGGCTACCTGAAAATTATGACCAAAGAAAAAGCCTAGGTATCATATTTCATGAAATTATAAATGAAAACTGCTCAAACCTGTTAGTGGTGGTGGTATTGTTCAATTGTTTCGGTCGTATCCAACTCTTTGTGATCCTATTCGTGGTTTTCTTGGCAAAGATACTGGAGTGGTTTGTCATTTCCTTCTCCAGAACATTTTAGAGGTGAAGAACTGAGGCAAACAGGGTTAAGTGATTCGCCCAGGGTCACACAGCTAGCAAATGTCTGAGGACAGATTTTTAACTCATGAGGATGAATCTTCCTGACTCCAAGCTAAGCACTTGAACCACCGTACCACTTATCTACCCCTAACTTCTGTTAGTCCCGGAAGTCAAAATGAAAATGGAAAGGATCCATTGGTTGCTTCCTGTAAAATTCCAAAATGAAAAATCTCAGAAATGTCATGGCCTAACTATAGAGCTTTGAGGTCAAAGAAAAATAAAATACTGCAAGCATACATTCAGAGAAGGTTCAAATACTACGGGGCCATAGTGAAGATCACACAAGACTTTGAAGATACCACTAAAAAGAAGAGATCTTAGATTATAGATCTTAGGATTCCAAAAGGCAAAAGATAAGTTTACAACCTAGAATAACTTATCCTACATAGTCCTATAGGGGATAATGGATCTGTAATGAAATAGAAGACTTCCAAACATTCTTAATTAAAATATCAGAGCTGAGTAGAAACTTTGAAATACAAACATGGGAGTAAAATGAAAACTAGGAAGATTAGGTCATTTGAACACTTGGAATGGGTTATAGGATTATGAAATGTTTACATTTTAATAGAGGGAAAAGAAACAAGTGTCCCTTTAGAACCCTAATGTCTTCAAGAGTGACAGAAAGTCATAAATAAGATAAAAAAGTTGGCCTGAGGAAATTTGTGTTAAGTAAAAATTTTCAATCATTACAGGTTCTTTTTTTCCCTCTTTAGGTTTTAACAGGTCCTTAATTTTAGCTTTTATTTTATCTAAGCTGGGTTTAGGGATGAAGTTATTTCTTAGAATTGCTCTGCCTTAGTTTGCATTGATTATTGTGTTACTTGGAACTGAGAGTGCCATTAACAAAAAATAGCATGAAGCCCTAATCTACACCAGCTAAGTATGTCTCCAGTTTTGTTTTGATGTATTACTGGCATATAATGAGACAATATCTTCAGTCCATTTAATGTACACTAGTCATCAGTGTCATCCTCACTGAAATATTTCCAGCTCATGAGTTATTGGTATTTCTTTTTTTTTAATTTTTAAATTCATTTTGAACTTATGTACAAAAAGACACATACAAAAAAGAACATTTCCATGTACACCAGCACAACATAAAAGGAAGATTCAATATAAAATGATGAATTTCTATTTCACACTGTTTACTTTTTTAAAACTATGTAATAAATATTACTCATCATTTTCAAAGCTACTGTGCTTTTCTGTTCTTCCTTCGTTTTTGTTTTTATTTAGTATTTTATTTTCCCCAGAGAGTTTTTTTTATCCCATTCTATTCCCCTCCTCTCTGTTGAGTTCCAAATTCTCTCCCTCTTGCCCCTCCATCATCCATTGAGAAGGCAAGCAATATATCACTTATACATATGAAGTTATGGAATACATATTTTCATATTATCTGTGTTGTAAAAAAAAATAAAAATCAAGAACCATGAAGAAAGTGAAAAAAGTATGCTTCAGTCTATACTTAGGGTTCATCAGTTCTCTTTCTGAAGATGGATAGCATTTTTCATCATAGGTCATATGGAATTGTCTTGAATCTTTGTCTTGAACAGAGTAGCTAAGTCTTTCATAGCTGATCATCCTTACAATATTGCTGTCACTATGTACAATGTTCTACTCGTTCTGCTTACTTCACTGTGCATCAGTTCGTGTAAGTCTTTCCAGGTTTTTCTGAAAGCGTCCTGCCCATCATTTCGTATAGCACAATAGCATTCCATCACAATCTACCACAATTTATTCAGCCATTCCTCAATTTCCAATTCTTAGCCACCACAAAAGACCTACTATATACATTTTTGTACATATAGGTCATTTTCCTTTTCTTTGATCTCTTTGAGATACAGACCTCAAAGTGATATTTCAGGGTTAAAGACTGTGCACAGTTTTATAGTCTGTTGGGCATAGTTCCAAATTGTTCTCCAGAAGGGTTGAACTACTTTATAACTCCACAAGTAGTGCATTAGTGTCCCTATTTTCCCATGGAGCAGCCTTTCAAATGATTGTTAATGATTTGTAATTCTTCTTTTGAGAAATATTTGTTCATATCTCTGACCACTCATCTATTGGGGAAACCTAGTTCTTTTAAATTCCAGGCCAGTAATCTGATATTGGCATGGCAATGCCAACATAGTTGGAGTGGTCATTTCAGCTAGCCAAGTGGAATTTTCTTTTTTTTTAATTTTTAAAATTTTTTTAGGCAATTGGGGTTAAGTGACTTGCCCAGGGTCACACAGCTAGTCAAGTGTCAAGTGTTTGGTCTGAGGCCAGATTTGAACTCAGGTCCTCCTGACTTCAGGGCCCCTGCTCTATCCACTGCGCCACCTAGCTGCCCCTCCAAGTGGAATTTTCAATTTTATATCTGAGTTTAGAAGAAAAGTGGGCCATGGAAATTGCATCATAACATTTATATAATGCTTTAAGATTTGCCAAGCATTTTCCTCAACAACAACCCCGTAAGTTAGAGAGTAGAGATATTCCCATTTTATGTTTGAGAAACAGGTTTATAGTGGTAAAGTGGTTATATAGTAAATAGTGTTGGATGCTAAATTTAAAACTAGGTCTCGGACTCCTGGTCTTCCTCTCTGACACTTTAACCCCTAAGACTCTAGCCATCATAGGGTATACTCTTTATGACTCCAAACTTTCTCATTATATCTTCTTAGACCTCTTATCAATATCTCCTCATTTCTCAGCTGTTGCACTACTTTGGAACTTCTCTGTCTTCTCCATTAGGCCCCAAGAACTTCATTATTGGAATAACCTCATCATCTTGTAAGATCTCATCAACCTTGGTACTGCATCTTATCACTCTCCTCTGCCTCTCTGAAAGGTGGGCCATGAACGACAAACCTCCATTTAAGTAGAGTACTCAGCTCAGACAGCTCATTTCTCACCTGCCTGGACTACCTTGGGATTTCTCTGATTGACTTTTCCACCAAGTCCCCTAGCTGGGTACCTTTTCATCTTTCCCTCCTCCCCCTTTCAGCTTCCTATTGTGGTTTTATCTTTACCCATTAGATTGTAAGCTCTGTGAGGGCAGGGACTATCTTTTTTGCCTCCCATTTTTGTATCCCCAGCACTTAGCACAGTACCTGGCACATAGTAGCTGCTTAATAAATGTTGACTGATTGATTATGAACTTGAAGGGCCCTCTCCAGTCTGACATCAAAGATCCCGTAAGAATGGCTTAGTTTTTCATAGACCTCCACAAAGAAATCTGATATCTAGCTCAGATTTTGCTGGGTGGGAAGATGGGGAAGATTTGAAGGGAATGGAGAGGAGAGAAGACCTTTCTGGCTACAGTTGCCTCTGTGGAGGAGGTAGCTTTTGTCCTGGGCTTTAGTAACACAATAAGAAGCTGAGTTGCAAAGGGAAGTTTCATCTACATCTGTTGGGGCCTTTAATTGCCTACACCAGTCAGGAAAGGAAGCTCTGTTTTTAGTTGTAAATGTGTCGATAGTTCTCTTCCGGAGCTCTGGGCACAGACATTGCTAGGGATCTTTGTGAGGGGCCCAGGCCCAGAAGGAATGACCAAATCCTAAAATATCCAGATTCCTCTCAGCTAATTAGTTGTCTTCAAAGGCTTGATGAAGGAGCTGAGAGGATGGATTATGAACCACTTTAGTGTGACTGAATTATAGCCCCTACATAATGCAAAAACCAAAAACCACTGCATTTCCTCTTTCACCTCTACCAATTCATTTTTTTATCAGCTATTTCTCCAAAAAATGCTTCCCTAGCAGGCACTGTAGATGGAAAAGGAGTCACATCACAGGAGAGATGAGAGAAATTCAAATGTGTACATTATAAAGCCTGGAAAAAAGTACATGTATGGTATAGGGCAAAGAGAATTGGGTTTAGGGTCAGAGGAACTGGATTTGACTCCTAGCTGTGTTATTTGCATTCTTTGTATAATT